AAACATTGGAACAGGCTGCCCAGGGAAGTGGTGGAGTCCCCATCCCTGGACATATTTAAAAGACGTGTAGATGTGGCGCTTAGGGACATGGTTTAGTGGGCATGGTGGTGTTGGGTTGACGGTTGGATTCGATGATCTTAGAGGTCTCTTCCAACCTTAATGATTCTATGATTCTATGATTCTATGACACCCGTGTGATAAGGTGCCTTAAAGCCTTACACCTTTGTAAGCCACAAGTCCTCATTTTTAGCTATTTAATTACTTTTTCCAAATTGCAGATCTTGAGCTAGGCTGTACGTTCGATTTCCTTTACTTTCCAGGATGTGTGAAGAAGCTTAGGCCCAGAGTTTAATGAAGGTGATGAAACTGATGTGGTGTAGAAGTACACCACGTACGCTGCATCAGAGCTGTGTTAGGAACCATTTCAATGAACGTCCAACTTCTTCAGATTGTCTTGGAAATGAGAATTGCATTCTCATCTGCTTTATTGTGTTTCTAGAGGCTGCTTAGGTACCAACTTGCACCAAAATATTACATTTTGGTGGGTGGATGAAGTATAATTTCTCTACTGAAATATTGAAGAACCTCATGTAGGACAATGGGTAATTATGTAATTGTCTCATCAAAGGCATGTGTGATCGGGTTTTGCAGGAGAAGATTTTTAAGGTTGTATTGAGGAGAAAAGGTCCTCAACCTTAATATAGCGTGTCTATGTTAGATGTAAACGTCACCAGTGTGCTGGGGAGAGCCGTGGTGATTGCTAGCTTGGTTAGCAGGGGCTGAGCAAAGCATGGGGGACTGAGCTCCCCCTGCATGGAGATCATGTTGACCCAGATCGGCAGTCCCTGGGTTCAGGTCTCTGTCAATCACTCAAGTGTTTCTGCAGCTGTATGCACTGTCTTCAGAGAATTTGGGGAGATGAATGTAGTAGGGATGGCATGTTTGTGGGAGGAGGAGGAAGCCTACGGGCAAAGACACTGGGTTGCAGTAGGAGGAGTCTAATCAGCACTGTCTTGTACCTCAGCGTGAGGTAGGATTTTGTCCATGTTACTCAGCCCTGAAAAGCCTTTGGGGCAGCAATGCCCACTGCGAGCAGTAGGTGGTGGAAGGGGCTTCAGCATCGTCCCCAGTCCAGATGTCCCCAAGAGTGAAGGGTGCAGGCCAGTATCTGTGGGACTGACTGGGGCGCATGGGGCCAATCTGCTCCTCCCCTTGCCCCAGCCCGGGGGTGGAAGGGTTGAGAGGGTGGTGAGAGGGGCATCCAGATCTGCATATGAGATCTTGGTCTCCTGCCCTGAAGCCTCTAGGAGGAGGGCCCAGAGAACACATCTGGGTTGACTTGTAGGGCAGGTGTCATAGCAGAACCGATTTAGTCCATAGGGCTCTTGGAAAATAGGTCATCAGGCCGTTCTCATCCTGGTTTCATTTTACATGTGTCATCCTGTGTTTTCTCCCCCTGTCAATCACTGTGGTCATCTTGGTGGGACCACAGGGAATGGGGAGGCTCAGCCTGTGCCTACCGAGCCCCTGTCTGGTGGCACGTCTGGGTGCCCAGCAGGATTTAGGTGGCCAGAGCTCCCTAGGTCCTCCCAAAGCGGTGTGGGGCAGGCAGGCTGGAGAGCTTTTTATTATTGTTATTATTTATTATTACTATTTTTTTTTTTGGTTTCTGGCTCTGCAAGACCCCCAAATGTTCTTAATGGTGATACGGCCCGTTTATATGTTAATTTTAAGCCCGCTAACAAGCGGTTTGCTTTTCTCCTGACTTCTCACAGTTCCTTCGCCCGTTGAAAGCCGCTGCCGTGGGCTTAGGGGATAAGGTGCCGAGAATTAGAAAATAAAATAAAATCTGCAGGATGCTGGAGAGCGAGGGGGTATGGGGATTGGCTTGCTCAAAGTACAAACGGGTGATTTCTGAAAGCAAGTAACCCTGATACCAGGGGCGTGCATGACAATTACATCCAGTATAATACAAAATGTTAATTACTAAATTTTGAGAAATTAATGCTGATTAGCAGCTGCGTGTGTGTGACCTAAATACATCTATTGCTTGATCTTTATTCATAATATACAGTTTATTGTTGATAAAGTAATTGCTGAATGGTGGGCTGGCCCACAAGTCTCGTAGCTAAAGATGGAGGCCTGATTCGTCAAGCATCTGAAATTTGTTGGCATCTGTTTTTTGTTGAATTTATACAGACAGGGAAGATGAATAGCAGTCTGAGCTATCCCCTTTACAACTCAACTCATATATATTATTGAGAATTCATACTGCTTTTATTATTTGGTCACAAAAATGGACCTAATGCTTGTTGGTTTTAAAACACCTACTGGCGCTGCTTTCTCTCTCCATCTTGCAAAATATAAGACAAGGCCGAAGCTTAAATTAAAATCCTCAGGTTCTTATCTCTTTCCCACAGGAAAGCAAATCTGTGTTGAAAACCGTAAAATTAAGAGGAGAGCAAGGATAGCATAATTTAGCAAAAATTCATGGCACCAGATTCTGAGCTATATGACTGGAGGGATAGGTCAGACATTAAGAAGATACTGCCTGCTAATGCAAGTTCCTTAAGGTGGTGCTCTGGAAACAAGGCAAGCAGAAAATGCTGCACTGGTTCCCTTTTGCTCCCTTTCCCCTACTCCTACCGGCCTTAACAATAAATTGAGTTGTCCATTTAATAACCCTTCTGCTTCTAGAAGTCCAGAGAAATCCTGGGTTTGTACTTGGAGTATTGTCCTAACATCTGTTTGTGCTGGGATTTCCATAGTGAGCTCAAAGAAAACTAATTTTGTTGGGCTTTTAAATTATTTTTTCCTTTTCTTAACTCCTAGTATTTGACAGGCTGTCATTGCTGAGTTTTATCAGCGTTTCTTTCTGAAGGACTATTACTTTTTTCTGCCTTTTTTTAAAATTAATTTTAATAAAAACCTGTTTGGGGCATAATTATTTTTGCTAAGGGGCAGGGTACAGAGTGGCAGGGTACAAATGAATAGTGCCTGTTACATGCTGGCATCATCGCTACATCTCATCCCACCATGGGAACAGCAACTTGTGTTTCAGGCAGCAATAGTATGGCAGCGTTTTGTCGGGACGGACGAGTCCCGTTGTCTTGCAGCCTTGATCCAAGAGCGTGATTTTGGGCAGCGTCCTTCTGTCACGCCGAGTGCCTCCTCCCCTGCGCCTCTGTGGGAAGGGCCAATGGGAAGCGCGCGTCTTGGCCTGCATGGACGGCACCCATTTCGGGACCCTCTTGGGATTTGTAGCACTTCTGATTTCTCCTTGGTGTGACACGGCGAGAGGCCTCCCAGCCGTCCCCGGGTGGTCAGCAGGTCTCCTCCCTAACTGACCCCTCTGAGAGGCCACTGCCAACCACTTATATATGAAATTAGGCTTTTAAGCGTGGCTGTTCAGTTACCTGCTACCCAGACCAGGAGACTTCAAGTGGAGTTTGTAAAATTGCCACGGGAAAAGCCCACTGTACCCTCTGGCAAGGCTGGGGGCTTGTCCCCGCTGCGCCATGCCGCGGTTGCGCAGGAGAGCGATGGAGAGGAGGAGTGAAGTCGATGATGCTTGTGTTGCTCTTAAGGCTGGAGATGTGGCAAACCTGCACTTTAAACGTTGGGGTTTTTTTGATGCTGATCCCGTAACCGAACGGTTTCTTCAGTGCTGCTGCTGGCTCTGCCGTCCTTCCGTCGCAGCCGTCGGTGTGCGGTGCCTGCCTGGCGTGGTGCTCCTCCTGCCCTGCGGCCCGCTGGCCGCCACTTCCCCAGCCCCATCTCCGTGTCTCCCAAACGCCTTTCCTCCTGCTCCCAGCCCTACCCATTTCCCTGCATTTCCTCAACGCCCGCACCCCTCCTCAGGCGCCGGTGGTTCGAGGATGCTGATTCTGGCAGCAAACCTGGTTGCCGTCCGCCAGCCCCAATGTTGTGTCCCCCTCCCTTCAGTAATGCAAATACGTAACAATTGCACTTTGGAAATGCCTTTTTTTTTTTAATGCAGAAGCCCCACCTCGCTAATACTATTTAATTTAATTTTTTTTCTTCTCTTGCAGTCAAACAAGGTGCCAGTGGTACAGCCTTCTCATGCGGTTCACCCCCTCACCCCTCTTATCACCTACAGCGATGAGCACTTTTCCCCGGGGTCGCACCCGTCTCACATCCCCTCCGACGTCAGCTCCAAACAAGGTGAGCCCATCCCGTCCTGACAGGTATGCAGAGCAGTCCCCGTGCCCCCCGTGCTGCTGATACAGCTTTATTCTTAATATTTTAGAGGGAGGGTTCCAGGCGTGCGTGCCTGCTTTCAGGGACGGTAATTCTGCCATGATGCTGGTATTTAACTTGGCTGTTTAAATCTTCGTGCTCGTTCTAATGTGATAATTCGGGCTTGCTTTACTCATCAAAATCTTTTAAAATCTCAGTAAGCAGCAGCCAGTCCTCACCACCCCCTGTTGTGCCTGAGGCTTGCAGCGTGCAGACGCGGAAACGGCAATCATCCCTCACCTTCCCGAAAACTGGGGAAGAGTACTTCAGTAGTGGTGTTATTGAAACCTTTTCTTTCTCCCTTTTACTCAAAGTTGTATTTTATGTCCTTGTATTCTGGCTGTCTGAATTCTTCCATACATCAGCTGGCATAACTGAAGTGTAGCCCATAAAATGCAGTTTTGAGCCTGCGCAGGTTAAGGCTTTGCAAACATGACATTTTTTAACCTTCTGATGCCCACTGCCTTCTGCAGAAAGCATTGGTTTAGATGCCAGAGTCGCGGGTGTCAGTTTTCTCTGCGCCCCTAGGACTGCTTAAAACAAACAAAAAAGCCCCCCAGATCCTCATCTGGGAGCGTCAGACCAGCCCCGCTCTGGGTCAGTCTGTGGGCCCCCAGGAAAGCGCTGACAACCTCTGAGGTGCCGAGCCCAGCCTGCACTGAGCTCCCACCCAGCGCCCCAGCGAACCCTCCCCAGGAAACCCCTGGGTGTGTTTGCTTGCATTGGGATGCAGGAGCTGGGGGGGATGTGATGGTTGTTGGGGGGGTGCAATGGGAGGACTGACCCCGGACAGCGCAGGTCTGAGCCAGGGTTTGGGTAAGCAGCCTGAGGAGGAGAAGCCTGCACGGGAGAACTGGTGGCAAGGAGGGAAGGAGAGGGAGCAGAGGGTTTACAAAGGCGTTCGCTGTAGTCGGGATGTCAGTGCATGGGTGTGAAGTTTGTCAGCGCAAGGGCTGGGGCTGGAGGGTGCCTGTCCTTGCCTCTTTCTGCACACACGTGTCCCACCATGTGGCGTGACACCTAGTTGACAAGTTCATGAAGCTCTGCTTTACCTGGGCACATGTCCACGTGCACAGTTGTCCCATTTATCTGGAGAGGTGTCGCGCCACCATCGTTCAGGGAGAGAGACTTTTTTTAGTTCTGACTTTCCCTGAATGCCTGGTTTTTATTTTGGCCTTGCTCCGCAGATAATGAGATGGGCTACATCCAGAAAATACCATGGCCTTGTGGCTCTGTGTGGTTTTTGCTGTTTGTTGGTTAGTTGGTTGGTTTGGGGTTTTTTTAGGGAGTGGGAATACAAGAAGCACTCTGCCTGGAAAGCCTGGCCTGTAAATACATGTATAATACCATTTTCAGAGTTGGAAGAAGCAAATGGAGACCTCTTGTCCTCATTTGTCTTCCTCCTTTGCATCAGTGCCCAGGAGAAGGATATTCGCGTTCATTCCTTGAAATCCCATGGGTGCCATATGTGTTAGAGTACAGGATTTCAACCTCTTGCCCAAGCTGGCGGTGATGGCTGGGACACACCCCACTGCTGCAGTTCGTGAGCTCAAGAGGTTTTCACTTACTGCGCAATGAGTTTGCCCTTCTGCACCCCAATTCTTTGCCTTTACCCCTGGTTTATTCTTGTACTCCTCTCCTGCAGACCCAAACTGAACATCTAGTTTGTTGTTTCTGCTGCCCGTCCTCCCTTCTGCCTTGTCTCGCCCTCTTCCCTGTCCAGCCCTTGTGCATCCCACCGCTCACGTCCCTGTCCCCAGGCACAAGCCCAGAGAGGGGCTCTGCTGGGGGGCAGACGGGGGCGTCTCTGTTGCAGAGCTTGTGCCCCTCTGGTGTTCCTGAATGGGCTCTCAATCCCTTTGCACAATGTCTGGTGGAGATGGGGACAGATAACTCAGGCTGGAGACTTCTGGTTTTGGCTGTGACGGCGTCCTTGATGTGTGTGGTCTTTCCATGCTCCCCGTTTCGGCGCCGCTGGCGTGTGGGAGCAGCCCCAGTGAAGTGGCCCATGCAGTTGCTGTGAAGGGATTTTTTTCCCTCAGGTCCTCTGCCAAACGCCTCCGACCATTGTTTCTGTCCTCGCCCCCCCCCGTGGCGCGGCCCCAGTGCCCCAGCCGAGACACCGGGGTGCCCTCCTCCCACCGAAATCCCCCAGCAGGGAGGCAACGGGCTACATTCATCCATTTTATTTTATTTTATTTTATTTTATTTTATTTTATTTTATTTTATTTTAATTTTTTTTATTTTTTTCTTCACCCTCCCGTGAGCAAAAGCTTGCTTCAGAGAGCGCTGGCCGTGAGGTAGCTGCATATGTTCCTGCTGGGTGTTAGGTAGCTGACAGCCCCCCGTAAGGGGCCACAAGTTTTGGACTAGCGAATAACCACTGTGCGTTAGTGCAGAAAGAGCAGCGTCGTCTCCGTGGGTCAGGATTTTGGGGAAGGAGCGGCCCAGCTCCTTGTGCAGAACTTGGTCTGGCAGGGGCAAGGTCGTGTCGTCACTCCCAGGAGCATCAGCTGTCACCAGAGATGAGAGAGATGAGAGGCTGGGCTTGTTTTTCACCTTTTTTTTTTTTTAAACTGCTCTGAAAGAGCATTCCCTCTCACAGAAAAACCCTGGGATAAATGAAGTGTATATAAAGTGTTCCCTCTCCTGTCAGCCACCAGCTGGTTTACACCTTTGAAAAGACAACTGGCCAAAAATACGATCCTCAGGCTGTGGTCCCAAGTCTGAGAATTTAGCTTTTTTGAGACGGTAACACCACCAGTATTGTTTTCCATCATTTTCTGTGCACAATCCCGAAAGATATTCTTCAAATCTTATAATGAAATTCAGAAGATTTAAGTCTGAGAATTTAGCTTTTTTGAGACGGTAACACCACCAGTATTGTTTTCCATCATTTTCTGTGCACAATCCCGAAAGATATTCTTCAAATCTTATAATTAAATTCAGAAGATTTAAATACAAACTGGGGGGGGGGCGGAAATCAGTAGCATCAATCTATAAACCAAGTCTCAAGGTAGCACACACTCAGTCTTGGACCTTTGGAGTGTCACCACATAAATATTTAATGCCCTTTTAAAGCAGCTGATTTAACATATGAAGTAGACTTAACAATTCCTTCTGCTTCAGCCCCCTCTTCCCCAAACACATTTAAATAAACCGATGTCTTTGTGGCCTCTGCAACCGTAATTCCATGTCTCCTGGGGGCACGAGGTTTAGGTGAAGAATGGAGACCGTGGACCCTTTTGGGATGAGGATTAGCTTTAATCTTGAGGTGATTCTTGCAGTTGTAGGACTCTGTGTTCTGGGGAATGTGAGCTGATGGATCATTTCTGATGGGACTCTTATTTTTCCATGAAATACTACCAATGCAAAACAGATTGACCTTGGAGCCCAGAGGAGTCAACTTGATGAAGAGCTTAGTTGGAGCTGGAGTGACAATTGGAAGCCAAATGAATCATATCAAGTGTGACCATTACAGGCCTGAAAATGATTCTTAATTAACCACTGATCCTCTGTGGTAGCAAGTTTCCAAAATCTGTGAATCCATAAGGGAACCCGCGAAAACGTACAAGTAGCAATTTACCTAATCTAATAGTTCTGCTGTGCTGCCGTTTTGACAACGCTTTATTTTCCTCTTGTTTCATGCTGTGTTAGAAGAGGTCCTCAGGATCCAATCGGGTTTGGTGAAACCATTGAGAGGACAGTATTGCCTAACGCGCTTTACAGGAGACCTAAACTTGCGCAGGCCCTTACCCATACATTTATTCCCTCCTTCCACTTTGTTTTTTCCACTATTTCCCTTTGAATTGCAATATCGTGTGCAAGTTATTTATTATTTTAAAGGTGGCAGGGGTAGCCTTTTACTTTTAAGACTAACCAAGGAGGTGATTATTTCTTATCCAGAGCACCAATTCCATTGTAGTGTTGGCCGTGTTAGCTGTGAACTGTAGCTCACGTGTAGTATTTTGAGGGGAAAGTCATTCATTCTTCTGTGCTCTTTAACAGGCATGTCCAGGCATCCTCCAGCTCCTGATCTCCCTACCTTCTATCCCTTGTCTCCAGGGGGGGTTGGACAGATAACACCACCTCTTGGCTGGTAAGATCTTTTAGCTTCTTTTCAGACAAAGGTGCATGTTCACACCATTCGCTGTTGTTGAATCGATCGCAGCATTTACAAAATAAGAATGTCGCTGCAGTAAGAAATTACTACGTTATTTTAGTTGAAAAGATCAAAAAATGTCAATCTTTGAAATGAATTGAATCTGGTTTTTGAACACGTACAGAAATTTAAGTGTGTAGATTTCACTTTGAAGTCTATATATTTCTTATGGCTCAGATTTGTGGCTCTTGGCATTTGGAAAGATAGCAGAAAACAGTTCTCAGGGAATTAAATGTAAATTTTTAATAAACAAACTTGCAATTACTGAGGGAAGGGGAGGTAAGAAGGAACTTTGAAGTGTGTGTGTGTGGGAAATCTTGAAACTGCACCAAAATGGCGAACAAACTTTTGTAGTCTGCTGCTTTTTACAGTTTCTGTATGGAGAGAAGCCTCTGTCATGGGGAGATTTTGCTGCTCTTGCTAATACTAGCCCTCTCAGGATCTTTCTCTGCCATTCAGGGTGTCATTTTCCTTTTGGAGGAAATGCGTGGTATTTTCAGAGTAATCAATTTCGCAGGATGCTTCATGTCTGCTTGGGGGTAGATAGGTACTTGCCCTCAGATCTGTCAGAGCAAGGAATAAGGAAACTCAGCAACAATTTCAGTGCTTTAGAATCTGTATCTTGACTAATCTGTGCCCATGCAACGAGTGATGCAGATTTATTTTTTTTTTTAGTGTGTTTATGGGAGGGAAACATGATCCGGATGACAATGGGCATAGAAAGTAGAGAGCAGAAGATGGTGAAATGCTGTATTGCTGGCAAATCTTTCAGGAAGTGCCACATGCCTTTTTGGAACAAATTATTGTCAGATACCAAACTAAAATATGAAGTATCTGACTCTCCTATTTTTTTTCTTATTTCCGCCCCCCGCCCCTCCCCGTTCGTTGCTGCTCGGCTGACTCCCTGCCTCCACCACCACCAGGCAGTTCCTGGCATTCGTTTTCCAGATGTGGTCAATCATTTCCTTTGAATGGTTTCTCGATGCAGAGGGTGGGGGGAGGGAAGAGGGAAAAGAGAAAGAAGAGGAGAGACAAGATCCAATCTTATAAGGCTTGGGGATGTGTTCAGCAGCGCTCACTGACAGCAGGACGTACCCAGCCATCCCTTATGCTATATGGCTTCCAGCTGCCTTCTGCGCAGTAGCGCTACTGAGACTCCCTCCACCTTTTTTTTTTTCCCCTTCCCTTTGAGTACTGCTCATTTCTAGTAACGTGCTCTAAGTGTGAAACCTGTATCCTGAACCTTACAAAGGCCAATATCCCTTTTTTTCCCCTCTGAAAGCTAATCTGCCAGTCAATAAGTAACTGTTTGAATAGGATTGATGTGTGTGGTGGTCTTTCTGAGCTGGTTCAGGTATTTGGGCTAAACTGCTATTTGTTTGCATTACCATAGCATGCTACTTCAGGGTGTTAATTGTAGTCACGACCTGAACCGTTGCTAACTGAAAGTAAACAAAATGTAGTGACGATGATAAAAACTAGAGAGTTCAAATGACAGGCTGGTGACAAAATATTCCGTATATGTGGGAGTATAAAGGAGGTAAGAATTTCACACAAGCTTCTTTTACTGGAGTGCAAAGTTTGAACTTTAAGTAGTTAAGATGGACTTGTGTTGCTGTGGGCTTTTAGGTGGTTGTGGGGTTTTTTTATCAAATAAACTTCTACTTTCTTAGAAAAGCTGGCCACTTCTACCTCACTGTAGAAGATGCAAATGGAGAGAGTCCTAAGTTTTCAAAGACTTAATAAAACTGTTCAAAAGGTTTTCTAGCTTGACAATTCAGTCTGGTGTTCTTGTACTGATCTACATTAGAACTATTTGGAATAAAATGCCTCTTTCCTAAGAGCTAGTTAACCAAATCTGATTCCAGTGCTTTTAAAACTACGTGAGAGAGGGATAGAGATAGAGTGTGTGTGCGCGCGTGCACGTGTGCTTTGGGGGAGGAAGGCTGGTTGTTTTGCTTTCTTCCCCAGTGGAAAGCCAGATTGAGAATCTTTCAGTAGCAAGGGAGAAAGTCCAAAGTGTTCAAGTATTTGTTAGCTTTGAATACAGCAGAACTCTTGAAAGTGTTACCTATTACTATTTTTTGTGACTAGTACTGACTGAGTTCCCATCAAGTGCTTGTAAGTCTAGAGTAACTACTGAATACCGTATCGTATGATTGATGGGTTCCTTTCTTCTGTGACCTCAGGCAAGGTCAGCCTGTATATCCCATCTCGAGTGGATTCAGGCAGCCCTATCCATCCTCACTCTCAGTCGACCCTTCCATGTCCAGGTAGGTGTAGGAGGTGAATGACTGACTGGGGAGTAACTGCTGGCGTTAGAGGGCAAGTTGCTCTTCTGCTTGCGTCTTGGTCTGCCTTTGCTTGCTTTTCAGTCAGCTAAAACTTTATGCGTACATTTTTATTTAACATATTTGTGTATATACAGTTTGCCTGGATCCCACACTGGTCTCATTCAGCATTTTCTTGGCAGTCTCTGAAGTATTGCAATTAGGAGCACCGGTGAATTGTCAACAATTAATTGAGCTGTTTCATCTGAAATGAGTCGTTTCTAGTTCATTTCTAGATGCAACATATAGTGTGCATCCTTGGGTTTTCCTCATGCAAGTATGCAACCAGCTGGATTGTCACTCTAGTCTGCGTTCTCTAGTTCTAATTTCAAAGTTGTTGGTAATTAATCTTGAATCATTTAGGTATCACTCCATGTGGAAACTTGCTCGCAAATAGGTATTTCATAGCCCAAAGCCACTAATGGCAAGGGATGCCAGCACAGTGTGTTTGTACTGGTGTGTGAATCAGGCACTGTGTCTTTATGTCTTAAGTGCAAGCAAGCAATGCTAACTGGCCATGACACACTCCAGACCTCCTCTCCTCTGCTTTTGCACTCTAAAGACAGCTTCTGCATCCCGTGCTTGGTGTACACAAGGTTGCAATATACCATTCTTGGGGTTTTTTTGTGTGACCTGTAGAAGACACATCCTCTTGCATGGGGACTTAAGACAGGCCACTTGATAAGTGGTGGGTCCTCTTGCCTCTATTTGTGTGGGCTCCTTTGGATTATCACTGTCCCTTCACTTCTTTACGGGGGAATGATAAGCATGTGGCTGTCAGGGTGATTGGGAAGAAAACCCATTCTTTCTCCATAATCAAATGACCTGATTTGGTTACAGGGCTTTGTGTTTGCTTTATTTTAATGGCATGAAGGAAAAGGGCAAGGTGACAAGGGAATGGAGAAAGGAGAGGCTGGATGTGATTCCTTAACCAGTGCTCATTCAGCAAACCTTTGGAGCATGAGCTTGCTTTTGATGTTAATGGTACTTTCCACCAGTTCAAAATAAAGCATGCAGGTTTTCTGCTGTGCCTGAGCTTGCAATGCTCAGCACCTTCAAGATCCGTCTCAGCTATCCTTGAGGATGACCTGGGTTAGTAGGGTGGGATGATTGAGTTAGTGGCACTTTGGTTTTCTTTATTTTCCTTCTTGTCCAAACGAAAGGAAGGTTTATTTAGGACAAAAGTCTCTCTCTCTCCCCTCCCCCCCTTCTTCCAGGATGCAGGATTTTTTTAGTTTATTTTTCTTTTAAGCATTTGAGGGAAGGATAGTGAGTTTAGGTGAAGTGATGTTAAAATCTTCTAGCTTAAGTACCTTGAAAAGTAAGAGATTCCTTAGAAAGACATCAGGGACTTCCTGAAAAGACTCTTCTTCTTTTATTTTATTTGTTTCTGCATGGCAGTTCCCTCCTTTGCATTGGCTGGTGGTGGATATTTTAAGACTGTTTATATCTTGGTGTGGAAATACAGTTTTTGGTTAAGAAATGTGTATTTTTATTGCTAGTCAGTGCAACAGTACAACCATTAAATGTTTCTTGTGTGCATTTTAAAACTGTTTGCCTGAAAGGTAATAAAATAACTTATTTACAACCAAATTGTTGACTGATTTGTTTGTTTGTTTGTTTGTTTTTCTTGAATAAGTGGGCTACAATGCACAAATCTTAGCCAAATATTTTCCATGCACTCTTAAAGAATTGTCTTCCATTGCAAGCTCCGTAGCGTTTGCATTCTTGGGGCATCCCGCTGCTGTCATACATGTTTGATGCCTGTCTTCAGTAGGGTTACAGACCTTCCTTTGTTTTCTCTTTTAGGTTTTCACATCACATGATTCCTGGTCCTCCAGGCCCTCACACAACTGGAATCCCTCACCCAGCTATTGTAACACCTCAAGTAAAACAAGAACATCCGCACAACGACAGTGAGCTAATGCATGTGTGAGTCTGCCTTTCTGCACTAGCCCTTAATCTATAAATGTTTGAGAACTAACTCTATCTGAAGAAGAGTCAAGGAGGTTAAAAAAAAAAAAAGTGCCTTTCCTGTCCTCTCTGAATTTTAACTCTTCTCCTATAACTAAAATGGGAGCTGTGGGCTACTGTTTGGGAAGAGTGATGAGACATGAAGCCATTTCTCATTCCAGTCCAGCACATTCTAGCTATCAGCAACAGTCATCTTGATTCAGACATAATCATAGACCTGTCTACCTGTGGATGTTGCTTGAGTGTGAACTCACAAAATTCTGCTGGAAGAGGTCTTAACTGCAAAATCTACTAGTAAAAAGCAGCCCTTTTGCTTCGTACTTGAAGGCAAAAGGCCTAAGAAAGAAGTGGATGAGGAGCTATCCTCCTGCCTGTAGCAGTGGTCTTCTAGGGTACTATGGATAGCCATTCAAAAAGAGAATTGAGACAAGTGATGCATTTGGAGCGGATTCACAGATCAAATGTTATTTGCCAAAGGATGTCAACCCGCCATCCTCCCTGAATATTAAGTCAGTTCTCTGAAAAGATATGGAAGTGGATGGGACATGACCACTGAAATTCTCATTCTTACTACTTAAATGCTAGCGTAACCACAGGTTGGTAATTTTCCATGGGGTTTTTTTTAGGCTGAAGGTAAATGGATGCTTTTTTTCCTTTCCTTTCCCTTTCCCCCACCACGTTTTAGGAAGCCTCAGCATGAACAGAGGAAAGAACAAGAGCCAAAAAGACCTCATATTAAGAAACCTCTGAATGCTTTCATGTTGTACATGAAAGAAATGAGAGCGAACGTTGTAGCAGAGTGTACTCTGAAAGAAAGCGCAGCTATCAACCAGATTCTTGGCAGAAGGGTAGGTACAGGAGGGGGGGTGTGTACTCACGTGTGCTGCTAATTTGTGTGTGTTTCCCTTTAGTTGGGTGTGATGGTTCACTTTCTGCTTGAGGTGCTAACTAATGTGCAACTATCAAATTAGCTATAAAAGATAAAACATGCAACTAAAAATAAAAGCAGTATCTTGATTTTCTTTTTTTCAGCATTAGCAACATCATCAAATTGGTGTCTGTTCCACTCATGTCATGGTGTCCGCACCTCAGGCATGAAATATCCTCATTCACACATGGCAGGAGCATTCAAATCACCTTCTGGGTCCTCCCTTAGGCTGGCGTCCATCAGAGCAGGAGGGGATCATTCAAAGATGAACACTGGACGCCAGTGGAGATGGAACACAAAAGTGAATATAGCGTGGTCCAATTGTAAAGTCATGTAGGTTGGGAGGGACCTGTGGAGGTCGTTTAGTCCAACACCTGCCCAAAGCAGGTCCAGTTACATCAGGTTGCTCAGGGACTTGTCCAGTCAGGTTTTGAATGTCTCTAAAGTCAACAGCCGAGTACTGATGATCCTGGTATATGTCCCAGAGCCTTGCTGAGAGCCATTTGCTTCTGTGGCATTGTAGGCATGTTTTGTTCTTTCCATGCTCCAAAAAATAATATGCAGGCCAACCCACAATTACAAACTTCATGTTCACTGTCAGTGTTGTTCTTCCAAGGGAAAGCAGCAGAGGTAAATGCCCATTTTGCCCTTTGACTGTCCCGGAAATGAGAAAAGGGACGACTTTTGTATCAGTCTGCGTTTGAGTAGGGATTATTCAAATCCCCTTGCTCAGTGAACCCCTCTTCTTGGCCACTGACTAAGGCAGTATTGAGAGGCACCGCAACTCTTAAAAACCTGTGCTTTTTAAGTGGGAAGTCAGTATATGACCTTAATAACTGCTACTTCTCTGTTAAAATCTGAAGACTGCCCCCCCCCCCCCCCC